ACACACACACACACACACACACACACACACACGCGCGCGCGCGCGCGCGCGCGGTGGGGTGCGAGGGGGGCCTTCGGTCCCCCTCCCCGCACCCACCCCGCGGGTAGGAAGCGTGGACCGTGGTCAATCGGGACCGTGGGTAATTGCAAGGGATTTTACCGATTGCGCACATAACCGATCGGACACGGCAATATTTCCCGATCGGACACAGTCCCGATCGGACACAGCCCCAATCGGACACAGTCCCGATCAGACACCGTTCCTATCGGACACACTCCCGATCGGACACATTTTGTATCGGACACATATGGTTGCAATCGGACCCAGATTCTATCAGACATAGTCCTGATCGGACACAGGCTCCATCGGACACAGGCCCGATCGAACACAGGCCCGATCAGACACGGACTTGATCGGACACTCTATACTGCGTTCACGGAGAGAACGACCACGCATTTCGTCCGGTTCGGTCAGACCACGCTTCCATTTTGCCCCCTCCACACCGAACAGGCCCTGAGTAGCGCATTCGATTTCCCCTACCTCATCCCCACTCTGTCCAAAGCTGCGCGGAGCGTGGTCGTTCTCTCTGTGAACGCAGTATAGATGGGTTTTCAAGTGTTTATAACATGAAATTTAAGGCAAACTGTGACTCTAGATGCGTTTCGAGTGTTTATAACATGAAATTTAAGGCAAACTGTGACTCTAGATGGGTCGGGATATTTATATGTATTTAACCCGGGTTAACTGTTCTGTAAAGCAGATAATTTTCCATCATTTGTAAGTCCATACGCACACAAGAATATTGTGCTTTACAGAAATACGCAAACCCGATACAAAATGTGTCCGATCGGGCCGGTGTCCGATCGAGTCCGTGTCCGATCGGGCCTGTGTCCGATCGAGTCCGTGTCCGATCGGGCCTGTGTCCGATCGAGCCTGTGTCCGATCGGGACTGTGTCCGATAGAATCTGTGTCCGATTGCAACCATATATGTCCGATGCAAAATGTGTCTGATCGAGCCTGTGTCCGATCGGGACTGTGTCCGATAGAATCTGTGTCCGATTGCAACCATATGTGTCCGATACAAAATGTGTCCGATCGGGAGTGTGTCCGATC